TTATAGAAAAATTTCTGTATATGTTATGGACTGTACTCTTATGAGTTGAACAAAAAAAAGATATATGAAATTCGGTGAAAATTAAGAAAGATAATAGCAAAATTGGAGTCAGATGTTTATAAAGAAACATCCAAACGCTTACAAAAACTCATCTAAAAACTATTTTCATACCTGTATATGTTTAGTTTTTTATCTCCTGGAATACAGGTATGAAAATAGTTTTTAGATGAGTTTTTGTAAGCGTTTGGATATTTCTTTATTTCTCTGCCGCAGTTACATTAAAGTTTGTATAAAAAAAAATGATGTCTTCTTTCATTGTTCACACACAGTTTTCAAGATCATCAATAAAATATTAACAATTTCGAAATAAAAAGTTTTGAAAAGTTTACTAAATGTGGATGTCAAAGTGCAAGTTTCAATTCAGAAGAAAGCTTTTCTTAAGGAGAAAAATGAGTTTTAATTTTTGTTGCAACGACTTTTGGTTAGTACTGTTTACCAAAAATTGTTAACATATCAGAAAATCATTAAACTAACGAGAATGATTAATATCTAACGGAGCCGATCACGGTATGAATCTATATCCGTTTAAATATGCTTTTTGATCAGCCAATTTAGTTCAATGCTATCAAGCAAGTGATAAATACATATAATACATACAATAGGAAAATAGTCAAGTTGTAGGATATCTATGGACAATTCGTACAAATTTGCAGCAGGGACAGTATTTACTTTGAGCATCAAAACATAAGACTTTTGAGTACCAAATTAATTGTATGTCAAATAAGCACTAAAAAACAAGATATAACTTTACAAAGAACAACAATATTAATTGTTTTATTGTAAATAATACAAAAATATTATCACCTGAATAATATAGTACAAATGTTGAATGTGTTGAATTGCCACCATCTTTATGATCATTACACCATTTAGGAAAAATCATACACCGAAAATATTTCCGGATTATTTTTTCATCGATTATGGCCGATTATATTCGATAACTGAGTTGTTGGTAACGGAGTATTTGGATGATACGTACGAAATTTCGCTATGATTGCTGGATATTTAAAGTTACTTTTGTAGAACGTTTTTACTAATTTAACACTAGCACCGAACGCCTTATATAGAAAAATGAGACCTTTATATGATATAGTTTACAAAATTTCATCAATTTGTTGAGTATGGGTTAGTTTCAGTAAGCTAAAAGATATAATTGATAATTTTTTTTATTATTCTTCAATTTGGTGCTCAAAAGTCTTATTTTTTTGTGCTCATTTATCTTATAACTAATTTGATGCTCAAAAAACATTTTTTTCAATTTGCATTTGTAAATAGATATATATTTTCACATATTGTTCATTCAAAATAAAACGAAAGTTGTATGCTAATGAAGTGCGGGATACTATTGCCTTACAACGGATTTGGTGATCAAAAATACACGAATTGCTTTGATACGCCAGTTGACTTTAAAAGTGTATAGCGTGATTAAACTACGTTGAAAAAATACTTGAATTTTCTTGAATGCGTACGAGAATGGCAGAGCAGCAGAGTTTAGAAAGCGACAGCATTCTGATATCTTTTTAACCGTATAAATAGATTAATCAATCGACATATGAAAACCTTCTTAGATTATATGAAAAACGCTTTAGAAATTTGTTATTTCTCCTGAAACCTTATAGGAGATATTCATGCCATTCTGGATATTTAGCAGCTAAATATGGAAGCCACGTCAGTTGGCACTGAGAGACTTCGTGTAATATATGTCTAGATGATTCATAAGTTTTATCCAATAACAGAAAAGATAGTCACGTAGTGTCAACTCTTGACATAATATCGTTACTGTCGTATTATCTCAATTATTTAGATCAAAAACTATTCTAAGACCTGAACAAAACACATGTTTAGCATATTCTTTTTGAATATCCGTAAAGAATCAAACCGAAACAACCAAACAAAATGAGGCAGAATAAAAAGCATAGAACAAAATTCGACGAATATGCATAGGATGCCACTGTATAGAATTTTCGGCGTATTACATATATTTCAAATTATTTTTGTTCTCGTTGATATGTAAATTCTCCAACCTAATTTAACTGTTATTTCCATTCAAAAATATTTGTATCTTTTAACAAATTATATAATTGCTCCACGATATCTAACAACAGGATATTTTGAAGCAACGACATTGTGTACAAGTAGTGCTCTTGTTTTTTTTACTACATATGTGGGAAGTATATTTTTACTGAAGAATTTGGATAGTGACTATACATTCGCTCTCGTTTATGCAGCAGTGTTTTGATTTCCATGTCCCATTTTTTCTCAGTAATCAATGGTAAGTCCATACTATCGACCGACGATAATTGAATATGTCATTCATTAGACATTTATTGAATTGTGAGGTTTAACTCAGCTACTGTAATAAAGCGAAATTTGAGTATGAGAAATAATTCTTACCTGATTTTCTTACTAATTTCTCTTTATAAAATACAAACGACGTTAAAATTGGAATATTATTATACAGTTAAAACATGCAAAGATAGTGGAAAATGCTTGACGTTACTCGCACCAAGAATCTATTCGTGAACGATACTGCCGAAAACCACAGAGGTCGAATCCGTTTTTTTCTAATTATCTTTTCCACAGTGGGTAACCATGCGAACATTTGGCAAAATCGAAAGTGTGCTTTTTTTCGAAATTAAAATAGTGCCTAATATATTTTGATTTACGGGCTATTTAATGGCGTAAAGGATTTTACAAAAAACCCTTGGCTTTTGAGATAAAATCCATTTTTCGCAACTCGAAAACGCTTTGAAAAATAATTTCATATTTGAAATCAGCGCATAAAACTACATCGAATAACGTATAATTTTTCCGTTTTCTGAATAAAAATTTTTTCGACAAAAAATTAGGGCAAGGGTCCACCTCAGCGATTTTTCGTTTGGAAACACTTTTTTCCGAATTCGGATTTTTCTAATTTACAATAACATTTCAAACGTGATAAAGTAGTACTGAGAAAAAAATTAAAAACTTTTTGAATTAAAAAACCACATGTCTGCGTGGTCCATAGAAAAATATCCACTGTGCTTCCAGCATCCAATATAGAATAGAAAATAAATTCAGCTGTTTTCATTCTTAAAATTCGATCACGTCGATAATTACATTAGAAATAAGGAAAGCGATGTACTAAATACTGAGGACAGGCGTTATACATCGTTATTTCCAACGTAAACCTTTTGATGAATAAATTTACCGTTTTATTTTGTTAGTGTCACTATTTACCGAAACATTAGCTGAATTAAACTTCGCAGTTCAATGAATGTCTAATGAATGACATTTCCAATTATCGTCGGTCGATAGTATTGACTTACCATTGATTATTGAGAAAAAATGCGACATGGAAATCAAAACACTACTGCATAAACGAGAGCGAGTCATGTCACCAGATCGAAAAATTTTAACAGCTTGTGCGGTCAAAACCTATTGCAGATTCTTCTTCTCTGTGTTCAATTATCTGGTACGCGATAAGTTTTGAATCGGGATGCTTCAGAAAAAGTTTCTTGTGGTCTTGTTCAAAAATTTTTCAAAAAGTTACCGTATGGGACCAAACGTAAAACAATATCGAAAATTTTTTCTGAAGTACCTCGATCCAAAAATTTTCGCGAACTAGATAATCGACCATGGAGACGGCGACTTTGCAGTCGCTTTTGATCGAACACGCTTTTTAAAATTTTTCGATCCAGTGATATGTACAACGAGAAAGTCACTGTATAATCACTTTTTCATCATACATCTGATGTATGATGAAAAAGTGATTATACAGTGACTTTCTCGTTTATTTTTGTCTCGATAACTTTATGTAAAAGATAATACGCCGATCTTCTTAACTCGCTCTCGTGTATGTAGCAGTGTTTTGATTTCCATGCCGCATTTTTTCTCAATAATCAACGGTAAGTCAATACTATCGACTGACGATAATTGGAAATGTCATTCATTAGACATTCATTGAACTGCGAAGTTTAACTCAGTTAATGTTTCGGTAAATACTCACTCTAACAAAACAAAACGGTAAATTTATTCACAAAAGATTCACGTTGGAAATAGCGATATGTAGCGTCTGTCCTCGGTATTTAGTAAACACGCAGAAACACAAAACAAAGGATGATGGAGAGAGTAGTATACCGAACGATTTTTCGATTATGGTTGATAGTATTGACTTACCGTTGATTATTGAGAAAAAATGCGGCATGGAAATCAATACACTGCTGCATAAACGAGAGCAAGTTAAGAAGATCGGTGTATTATCTTTTACATAAAGTTATCAAGACAAAAATAACGAAGGAACGAACGAGGAAGTCACTGTATAATCACTTTTTCATCATACATCAGTCGATGTATGGATGAAAACGTGACTATACAGACGAACTATTCTGACTATACAGAAAAACTATTCTCAAATTTTTGGACACTATGATCTAAAGTTTCACATGATATGATGTATGGATGAAAACGCAATTATATACTGACTTTCTCGTTTATTTTTGTCTCGACAACTTTATGTAAAAGATAATACGCCGATTTTTTTAAACTCGCGCCCGTTTAAGCAGTAGTGTTTTGATTTTCATGTCGCATTTTTTCTCAATAATCAACGGTAAGACAATACTATCGACCGATGATAACCGAAAAACCATTCGTTATACTGGTCTCTCCATCATCCTTTGTTTTGTATTTCTGCATGTGTATAAAATATAGAACCGTCCGAAGTTATTTTAATAACGTTTGAACGGAAAGAGCTAGCGACCTGCGGTTTTCACGTTGGTAAAGTAGACACTGAGGGACATCGATCTGAAAATGAAGTAGTTTTTCAAACAGGTTTACCATGATCCACTTTTCGAGTGAAAGAGTCTGAGGTTGCCATTCCAAAAATCTATATGGTGAGTTATGGTGAGAAAAGAGCTTTTTCTGAAAACCTCTTAGTCGTAGCTCTCTTTTAAAAGTTTGAGAAACCCCTAGTTTTGTTCAGTTTTTTAAGGTCTATCGATCACACTAGCTGAAAATTCTATAACATACTTTTGAAAGGCTGAAAAGGAATTTAAATACAAAATTTTGCATGAGGTGCTTTTAGATGTTTCCAACTATTATAAAATGGTGTGTTTAAAACTATTCTGGCTCTTTTCTGAGATCAGTGATTTCATCTTTTTTTGAAATCTAAAATAAAATTCGAACTTTCATGCTGGAGAGTCGAAGATTTTCCCAAAATGTGGACTGGACAATTTTGAATAGAATAGTCGATTCGAAATATTTTTAAAGACAAGATTTTCGTAAAAAAAGTATTTATTCTATTTCGGTGTGGTAAAAAACATGCCTTTCTGGAAAACCTACTTCTAATCATTTGGGAATTTTTCTAAGTTAGCCATTTCGATGAGCATATTTAGAAATCCTGATGTAACAAGTTTCATCAACATCGGTTCCTCGCAAGGTGTTTCATCTATTGACTAAACGACTATAATCATGTTTTGTTGTAGAATACTTTTGATTCAGTGATAGAAAATGAAAATGTGCAAAGTGATACTCCTTCGTATGATACTTCCTTGTGTCTGATGTCGCCAAAGGATTGGGATATATTAGATAAAATTGAACTTGCCTATGTTCAATCAATTAAACTAAATTCACCCGTTGGTCTGCCGTTATATCCATCGACCAGAAAACTGTCGTCTACGTCTCAACTAATCAATGAACCGATGAATATTTACTCGACACGATTGATTACTTATTTCAAGCAGCTGCCGGAGTTTTATGAATTAGAAGAAGATGACAAGTTAACATTGATCAAATATAATTTATTCGGTTTAATATTCATACGAGCTATATTAATCTATGATCCAATCAATGACACCTATCAAGAATACGGTACAAATGATTGTGCATTGAATGTTAAAGACTTGGTACAGTGTTGCAGTTTATATTTGAAATCGACTGATTCAGTGCGTTAGTTTATTGATATATATGTTGTAGAATATTTTTGATTCAGTGATAGAAAATGAAAATGTGCAAAGTGATACTCCTTCGTATGATACTTCCTTGTGTCTGATGTCGCCAAAGGATTGGGATATATTAGATAAAATTGAACTTGCCTATGTTCAATGAATTAAACTAAATTCACCCATTGGCCTGCTGTTATATCCATCGAGTTTTATGAATTAAACGAAGATGACAAGTTAACATTGATCAAATATAATTTATTCGGTTTAATATTCATACGAGCTATATTAATCTATGATCCAATTATTGACACCTATCAAGAATACAGTACAAATGATTGTGTATTTAATGTTTTTGTTTTTTTGCGAAACTTGATTTAGCACGCTGTGGAGCAAAAATAAGAGAATATACGAAGGACAATTAAAAGAGAAGACCGAACAACATATAAGGACGAACCGGTTATATTACTGGTGAAAAACTGAGTATACAGAACACAGCAAAAGAGGATCAAAAAAGATAATAATAAATAATAAAAAGAATGTATCTTACTACTGTTTTAACAAATAAATTCTAGGTAATTAACGAGGGAAGATTCGCGCTTACATAGCATTTTTTTAACGCTTTTCATACAGAAAAAGTGACCACACTTAGAGGATCTATCATGAAAGTTTTCCCAGAAAAATAGATCATTGAAAATAGATCATTCCTGTTAAATTGGTTCTATGAAATCCTACGGCAGGAATTCTGTAGGATTCTTGATATAGGACGGTAACAAAAATGCCACAAGATTCCTACAGAAATGGATTCAAAGTAATAATTTTTCATTTGTCCCAGATACTTTTAACTCCTCTCGTAGATCTGACCATAACATTGTCCTACTTTGAAAGTTACTTTTGAAATTTCGTTGCAGTTTCCAATAGTTAAATGGAACGAATACGAAATTATTTTATATCTCCTTCAAGACTTCTGGATGGTAGAACTAAAAAAGTCCTCGCCCCTGGAGCGGTACAAAAATTGTACCCGATTTTTGGTAGCTTTAAAAAATAGAGTAACATTTTATTTAGCAAAAGAGAAGTTTAGACCGGCGTTACCAAATCATATTCTGGAAAAATTATTGTTAGGAAATTTCGTAAATTGTATTATCGGAATAGATATGAAAGAGGTAGAATAATACTTCGACATCATCTAGTGAAGTAAAAAATGAAATTTACAAGAATTAAAACCCAAGCAATCAGTAGATTTTGATGAAATATCAAATTTTATGTTAAAGTTGTTACCACCGGGTTTTATTGAGTGCTTATCCATCTGTTTTAACGAGTGGCTTAAAAATAGTTTTTTCCCTAAGGAGTGGAAGTTAGCAAAACTAGTTACTTTAAATAAACTGAAGTCAGGAGTTCCATCGTGTGAGCAGACAAGACCTATTTCCCTTCTAGCAACTCATTCAAAAATTTATGAGAACATAATGTTACAAATGATAAAAATTTGGGCAGACTCAAATCATATTATCTTTCCGGAGCAGTCTAGGTTCAGACAAAATTGTTTACTGCAACCCGTTCTATCTATCCATCAAGAAATCGAAAATAACCTAGCGGGAGATATCCCTACAATAGCTATATATTTTGATTATAAAAAGGCTTATATAGTATGGTCTGGCATGTTGGGTTAATAGTAAAACTTTTCCGCCTTGGTATTCCTTAAATTTATTAAGATTAGTGTTATAACTGGCTAGAAGAGAGAAAAGTTTATGCGGTTTTTGTGTAAATTTAAAACAAATTTGTTTGAGTTAAAAATAGACCTACCGCAGGGTAGTTCTTTAAGTCCATACTTACTTATAATTTTTCATTCAGATTTAGTAATCAAAGTAGGAACGAATACAGCTCATATTTTCGCAAACGATCTAGCAGTTTTGATTACGTCCTCAATAAGTGTTAAACTACAGAAAATGTTGGATTATTTGAATGAGGAAGGCTCTAAGGTATGTGAAAGAATATACGAGTACTCAATTCAATACTCCATTCCAAACGCAGTGGTATGGAATGGCCTGGAATGGCCCATTCCAACTCATTCCGTACCAGCTAAGTTTGTAGCAAATTTCATGAGCTTCAAAATGGTATATAATAGAAAAATGTGTATTTTCTTGTTTGGGAGGAAAAAGGGCTATAACAGCGAGGACTGTCTACTATGTTGTATACGCAGGATTGTTCTAAGCGCCTTACTGCTATCGAAGCACTGTGGTTAACTGTTATGTATCACACGTTCTATAGAGAATTTTCGAGGCTATCCGGTGATATATTTACTTTGTCGCCTACGCAAAAGAAACATGAGAAAAACACCTTTTACGTAACCTATAGCTGCTCTTTGAGGGGTGAACTATTGGCATCCTATTGACGAAGAATTACTCGGATTTTAGTTATCAAACGTACGCGAAATGAATTAAAAACAACTGATAATACTTTTCTACTATTCACAGAATCATTTTTAGACAAAAAATATAGTGGGCCGATTTCCGGTCTTATGCGGATCCTTCCTTTGATCAATTTATGTATTTGATTTGAACGAATTTAACACAATTAAACAAACAGCACAGATTAAAAATAAGATACATACCAAGCTGACAAGAATAAGCTGGGAGAAATTATTCAAAGAGACGATGCAAAATGTCTAATAGAGCAGAGAGAGAAAAATCTAAGCAGGCTTTCTTCTACAGTAATAATCTATCATGGAGAACCGATAAGAAATAGTTAACCCCAAGAGCCCATGGTTTCTAGAAAACGTTTTAGATTTAAGTTAGATTAGGAGTTTTTTACATCAAATCGGCGTTTATATCAATATAAGTTACTTAAGTGAGGGGACCGATCGAAACAGACGAACGTTACCTTGCAGGTTTGTAGCAGACAAATCTGATTTATTCTATTGACTCAAAACTGCCAACATCGTCTGTTCAAGAGTATGATAGTCACTATAATAGCAGAAGAGACAATGCCGATAGGGTACTTTTTCTCTCTAGTTCTTTTATTAGAGATGTCTTGAATCCATTAAATAGACGAAAAATTATTTTTATGCATTCAGATGTGTGAAAAATTTTAAGAAGTCTAAATGCATTCGTTAAACAAGCGTTTGGAGGTGTTGGATTTGTAAAACTGCATTAGGAAAGTTAAAAAAATTATTATTCGCAAATGCACTTACTTTTAAGATATGTGAAGGCATTAAGAACACTTTTTTATCCATTTAATGAGTTTTCACGTATTAAAGGTACAAAATGTCGATTTTAATGCATTCAATGGAAATTTTTTGGATTAAAAGAATTCTGTGGGTAATCACATTATCCGATGGAAAATTTCAATAAAAGCAATTATATGAAATACTCAACTGAATTACCCTTTTTTAACACGGTGACGAGCGTCCATCTCATAATGCATCTTATTGTGCTTGTACAGAACCCTTTTCAAATGGAAAATATTCGTTTATATTCAATTCAATCTAAACTGCATCTCTGTGTAGTTAGAATTCTTTTAAACTTCATTTTCCCATCAAGCTCGCTAACAACGTTATCTTCAAGTTTTACACAGGTAAAAGTCATCTTTTTTCTACAGGCTTTTCTTGCAAAAACAAAGGAGAGAAGAAATCGAATACAGATTCTGATAGAGGAGAATGAAAAGTATTTCAACTACAACGATCATTTCCTATGCATGATGAGTCACTGCTGTCGGTGTTTGTTTTAGCCAAAAAATCTCTGCACACTATCTCCACAGGATGACTGAGTAATTGAATAGTTGCTACAAACTAGCAAATAGCTCTACAAACTCTACGTATCAACTTTTATTGATGCAAGCGTGGGTAAAAAATTTGCAAGTCAGAGAAATTCGATATTTGCGAAAATAGTTGTATCTAAAAGAAAAGTCTATCTGTCACAATAAAAGTATCTTTAAGTCAGATTATTATCGCAGCAAAATCACTGTGAAATTCTGAGTCAATCCTAAAGAAACATTTTATAAACAAAATACATTTTTTTTGAAACGGAGACGAGAAGACTTGGTTTCGAAATTATATCATTATATGTGTGATTGGTATAGAAAAGACAGCAGTGTATAGTTATTTCGAGTAATGATAATTCAACTTATTGAATGGATATTCCCAATGAGAAAAACAAACTTTGTGTACTAAAACCGTAGTAGAGAAATTAGTAATATTATCTAGGCAGTAGAATGACTCTTTGCTACAGAATATAATTATAAGCAATTTCTGGTATTTGCAAATATTCGACTTCTTCATCCGTACGTTCTATCGTTTTAGTACCTCGCATAATACTAAATGTTAAAAAATATTTCGGTAAAAAGTGTACGTATATTCGTTATTAATAAGCAAAATTAACGTTTTACAAAAATTTTTGTTGTAATATGAAAAATTTATAGTCTATCATTTTCAAACGTTGATTTAACATTCTGTTTTTATCGTTCTGTTTTTTTAAATAGTTTTGTAGGTGTACAGCAAACATTTAACTATAGCTATATCATAAAAAAGTACATTTTCGTTCTTTACTTTTGTTACTTTTAGCGACGAACTGCAGTATATAATCATGATATTTATGTGGAACAAAAAGAGAACAAAAAAAAAATGAAATAACGAACAGCTGTTTCTAAAAAAAATGAAGATAAAAGAATAAAAAAGATGGATAAAGTGTGAAAAAATAACGGCAATTAGGTTACGCCGATTTTTAAACGAATAACACCGAAAAGATAACGGAATAAAAGAAACCGAAAAGACTACGGAAATAAGATCGAAAAGAAAATGGTTTCGGTTTATGGATAAAAAGTACCGAAAAGAAAACGGTGTTATCAATCAGCTTAATTACCGTTCGAAATTTTACCAGTGTATAATGTTTAACGATTACATTCACTTCAACAAGCGTTATAGATTTCACGTTCTGGCAGCCAAGTTCTGCGCATTTTTGTGTTGAGATTGGAAACTTGCGCATCACTGTATATATATATACAGCTGAAAAAATATTTTTCACACTCGTGTGTTTGTTTCTACGGTTTACTCTTCTGTTCAACATCGTGGTCATCTTGTTTAACTTTGTCAAGGCACTGTGTATACCAGTACCTTGACAAACCGTTATCTTTTAAGCCCTTTTTCCGTTATCTTTTCAGTCTTTTCCTAAATAATTCATTTTCCGTTAACTTTTCAGTTCAAAAAGTGAATTATTGAAGAACCGTGATCTTTTCGAGCTAATCACCGTTATCTTTTAAATCCTTGTCCAAAAAAGATCTAGAACACTTTTTTAATACGTCATTTTGTTCTTCTTTTTTTTTCTTTATATCCAGCTTTATTTTTTTTGAATAGAGGATGGAATACTTTTCTGTTTCAATACTTTGGGTAATCTAAAATAAAAAGCAGAATCATTACAAATATTTTACTTTCTACGAGCAAACAAAAGAATCTAATCTGTATTTCTAATTTATTCTTTTATTATTGTTGTAAGATGTCAAACGTATATTACAAATAATCTGCTTCGAGGATAGAATTATTTCTTTTTTAATATAACGATGGCTGATAATTATCAATGTCAACGTACGAGAAAGAGAGGAGTTCGTCAACCGTATTCAAATGACATAGTTTCTAATATAAGAGACGATGTAACGAATGATCGAGAAAATACATCAAATATGAGTATATACGCGAAGAAGAGGATAGAATTAATGTGTGTGGTGTGTGGTGCTCCAGCGATCGGTTACAATTTTGATCAAATAACATGTGAATCTTGTAAAGCATTTTTTCGACGAAATGCATTGAAATCACTGGTATGTCATTGTTCTTTCTTTCTTTTTTTGTTCATTTTTGTACGCTTTTATAATTAGAGAGTAGAGAGAAGTCACGATGAAAAAAAGGGGAACATATTCAATTGTACAGCATCCGTTTTAAAAGACTTGACAACCACTAAAAACTTTACGTCTTTAGAATTTCGAAAAGTGCCTTCAGAAAAACAGAATTTATCATAAACCGCTCAATTCACCAAAATCTAGAGTATAATGAAGGAAACTGCATCGTTTTCTAACACATAAATAAAGATTAATTTATCATTAGTATTTATTTTCATTTAGGGTAGTTTTAAATGTCGTTGTACTGGTGTTAGTGATGTTAACATACGTAATAGAAAACGTTGTAAAGCTTGTAGACTGCAAAAATGTTTTGCAAAAGGTAAATCTGAATACAAACTCAAAACGTGAATTAAAAACTGTAACATCAAACATTGATAAGACTAGGACTTTTAAACTTTTGAATAGATTTTAGGCATGCGAAAAGAATGGATATTGTCTGCTGAAGAAAAACGTTCGAAAAAGCAAAAAATTGAAGAAAATCGACGTCTTCGTCAATTAAATAATTATCTCACTGAGTTTGAGGAACAGGTAAGAGCAAATAAAACGTGTTAAATTACGGATTTCTGTTAATAGGCGTGTAACATGAAAAACATACCTCGGAAACTGCCGCACCAATTTTGACGAGACTTGTTACTTCAGGGTTTGATCGGTGTCAAGTTCCATAATTTTGTGGAAATTATAGAGTTCAGCAGAATTGATGTAATCACCTCTCACTCTCAAGACGCAGCGACACTCACTCCCACTTATACTTTGAGTTCTTCCTTAGGAATCTGCTTGCTGACAGAATCTGCTCAATTCTGCTCAGATCCTGTCAGATTCTGGTAGAACCAGAACTGCAATTCTCCCACAGTCTTTGTAATAGTAAGTGTTGCATAGGTCGCGTTCTGTCAATTCTAGCAATTTCCATGGAATTATAGAACTTGACACTGCTGTTTTTCCCTTATCGAAATAGAATAAATAGTTTTTTTACTAAAATCTTCGACGCCCGACTACTAAACAAATTCAACTACTTTTACTAAAAAAATTCGACGCCCGACTACGCAAAAGTTCGAATTTTAACTTAAATTTGAAAAAAGTGAAACAGCTGAACTCAGGAAAGAACTAGAATAGTTTTAAACACATCACGCGATAGAGCTAAAAAGAAAAGAGCATTTTCTGAAAACCTCTTAGTCGTAACTCTCTTTTAAAAGTTTGAGAAACCCCTAGTTTTGTTCAGTTTTTTAAGGTCTATCGATCACACTAGCTGAAAATTCTATAACATACACTTTTGAAAGGCTGAAAAGGAATTTAAATACAAAAGGTTGCATGAGGTTACTGGAAACTTAATCTTAATACAATCTTCTCTTTTCTTATCCTCAAAGATGATACCGCATTTTTTTCTGATCAATTCTAATGAAAGTTTTACTGGTAATATACATGTTTGTTGTTTAATTGTATAACCGGTAAGAGTACTGGCAGTAAACAAAATGACATTGACAAGTTTATGACTGATAAGGGCTTGGCCAGCTTGAGGACCAAAGCCAAACACAATATTAACAACGCCAGGGGTCTAGAAAACTCGTTTTACTGAGTATTGTAGCTTTGCGAACCCCCATTGTTTGTGTAGCTTTTTGAGCTTCATCGAATGGTGTGTGTAAAACTCAATAACATCAGATTGTGTAGATTGTGTTTAAAACTATTCTGACTCTTTTCTGAGCTCTGCTGTTTCACCTTTTTTTGAAATCTAAAATAAAATATAAACTTTCGCGCTGGAGAGTCGAAGGTTTTCCCAAAATGTGGACTGGACAATTTTGAATAGAATAGTCGATTCGAAATATTTTTAAAGACAAGATTTTCGTAAAAAAAGTATTTATTCTATTTCGGTGTGGTAAAAAACATGCCTTTCTGGAAAACCTACTTCTAATCATTTGGGAATTTTTCTAAGTTAGCCATTTCGATGAGCATATTTAGAAATCCTGATGTAACAAGTTTCATCAACATCGGTTCCTCGCAAGGTGTTTCATCTATTGACTAAACGACTATAATCATGTTTTGTTGTAGAATACTTTTGATTCAGTGATAGAAAATGAAAATGTGCAAAGTGATACTCCTTCGTATGATACTTCCTTGTGTCTGATGTCGCCAAAGGATTGGGATATATTAGATAAAATTGAACTTGCCTATGTTCAATCAATTAAACTAAATTCACCCGTTGGTCTGCCGTTATATCCATCGACCAGAAAACTGTCGTCTACGTCTCAACTAATCAATGAACCGATGAATATTTACTCGACACGATTGATTACTTATTTCAAGCAGCTGCCGGAGTTTTATGAATTAGAAGAAGATGACAAGTTAACATTGATCAAATATAATTTATTCGGTTTAATATTCATACGAGCTATATTAATCTATGATCCAATCAATGACACCTATCAAGAATACGGTACAAATGATTGTGCATTTAATGTTAAAGACTTGGTACAGTGTTGCAGTTTATATTTGAAATCGACTGATTCATTGCGTTCATTTATTGATATTGTTGAATATGATCGTTTAGTTGTAAAAATTATTTTAATTATCATGCTATTTTCTAAAGGTTCCTCTATATGTTCATTGAAACATCCTGAACCAATATTAAAAAATAACGTAGAAGTATATAAATCGCAAAATTTTTATGTTGAACTAGTATGGAAATATTGTGAACAAAAATTTGGATTTTTAAATGGCGTTAAACTATTTTTACGCTTAGTGACATGTTGTATGATGGCGAAAATGGCAGCTGAAGAAATGCAACAACATGTTGAAAATACATTAACAGCAGGTGAATTAGCACCACTAATGCAATCTATTATATATTTATCATCAAATGTGTTCAATTAGTTGTGGTTTTTGTACGAAAGAAGTGTGATGATGTGTATGTATCTAAATATCGTAGGATTTTATAAATTCTACTAAGTATTGATTGATGTAGTACAGATACTTTTTACATATCATTGCTGGTATTATACATTTTTTCGTATATTAACTGTTAAGCTTTAACTAGCGTAATAACATAAAATCATTATAAGAAGAATATTCATTATGAAGAAAGAACATCAAAGATTTGACTTATGTTAACTATATGATATTATGTAAATTTAAAACAGTTATTACGGTTATTAATTATCTTTAATAAAGATCATCAAATCATATAATTTATTAACAGAAAAAGGAAAATTTGCCTTTTTTTTCTATGTAGGTTTGTCTTTTCTATGAGAACAATCGATTAGAGATATCAAGTATCATTAAATAGTATCGTGGAGTTCCTTATTCAATCTTTAAATGAAAGAAAATGCCAGCAGATGAAGATACAAGCTGCTTCATGATAATTTACATACGCAGTTAAGGGCTGTTATGTTCGAATAGAATCATCTGAAGGGGTTTGAAAACTAAAGTAAGTATTTTATTAGTTATGGTACGGTTTCAATAGTCTTTGATTTCTACAAAGAAATGATAGAAAATACAGATCAAAGTATTTCCAGGAATAAACCGGAACATTTGTTTTTTATGTCTATCATAAAATGTATGAAAAAAAGAACAAATTTTTGTTTGGGTAGATCATCCCATGTAATGATGATTATTATTGTGACTGTTCAGTATGCAACTATTTCACCACAAGAAGAAGAGAAAAGCTCGATAGAAAACTGCCCATCTCGGTTAGTTATTTGATGGAATAATAACTGCACATTATCAAAATTCAGTGTAAAAGATGCCACAGTAATATTATTTTTCTTCGATTATCAAATGACATAACGACCTCCTTCACATTTGGACATAAATACATGTTTTTGATAGTTCAGAGTGTCCATTTTCAAATACATTATTTATGCCATGAATAATGGCTTTCTTTTTAGAATTTTTCAGGTTTTCTAGAGACCCCTAAAGGACGGGAAACGGTTTCCGCTAGAAAATGATCCAATATGATTTTGAGTGAGAATGAAGAGAAATGCTTCTCTTTCCATTTCCCAACATTTTTGACTTTCAAACGTTGCTCCTGATCTCCTTGAAAAAAATATTTCTTATCATTTTTCGCCACCAGTTTAATGATGACCATTCACTTTGTTCCTCAAAGTTTTCGTACGATTTCAAAAACCTTGACCAAAGCCCATACATAGAAAGACAGAAAATTTCCCGCGCACCAAAATGAGCTGTAGACAAGCTTTTCAAAAGTATGCCACACAGAACATTATTAAAATACTAGACAGATATCATGATTTTCACCTATCCTAACACTTTCAAAGGAATACTCCTTTGACGCTTCTATTCAGACTCGAAAGGTTTTATACATTTCATTCCTTGACTGACATGAGTAGTAGTATCAATGGGTATTGAATAGCTCTTATCAAAATGAGTCCGTTAAAATGTCTTATAGAAATGATTAAAATGAATCCGAATAAATTCATAATTGGGTAAATCTGATGTTTATTTTGATGATCTGATGTTATCGAATGCTTTGCAAAAATCTGCTGAGTCCTGTTCAAGATTTATTTCAAAACCCAAAAAGTCCAACTATGTCAAAAAATATTGTTTATTTTAGCCTGTTTTTACTTTTCTCATAATTTTACAACATGTCCCTTATCATTCGAATTATTTCTCGTTTTTCTTAAGTACAGCTTTGATAACACTTTTGAGTGGAGCATTTAGTGGAAATATCAGCTTACAGCTATACTATACAATCTTTCAGCATTAGATATCATCGAAATCGGCTCCGACACGGAAACAGCTTATACCGCACGGCAAAAAGAGCCTTCTAGAAAAGCAATCACTAAAAAAGCGTCCGCCAGAAATTATCCTGCATATATCCGTGGACAAGAGTGAGTCCACTAAAATTCGTTTAGAAAAAGCAGTATCGAAAAGCATATTGCATAGATGAATCCTTTCAATGCACTAGTTTATCTCAGAGAAGACTGATTTTTAGCGACTGTGGATCGTTCCAACAGGTCAGTCGTGCTTCCGATGTATAGTGCAACCAAAACTGAATCGAACAATATTTAGAAATGTGTTCAGACTTTAGCTTTCATGTAAAAATAGCCATAAAAAAAGAAATTCTCGCATAAAAAAGCGTTAACTAAGATCCAGCTACAAGAAAAGCGCAGCAATATGAACCAACAAGATCTCGATGAGTTGAAGAGTTTCGTAGAGTAACAGTAACCAGTGTGCGCTGTGGTAAGTCTGTATTTGCCTTAGAATCTAGCAGAGTAAGTTAAAACTTTAGGCAAACATCTGACGACTTGAAGAAAGTTGAATTCTGATTCATTTGTTTTCAATGCAAAGACATTTTTATTTTTAAAAGACGTTAGCAAACGCATACCAGCGCTTTCATGTTCCTAAACTAGCATAAATGTTACACCACGTACTTGTTATTTCTTATTATTTCATTCAAATACTGATTGTTTCTGTTTTTTGTCACAGACGATATTGAGTCGTATGATATGTACAGGCGTAAGGGAGCGCCACTTCCTTAAACATGAGTAACTCATTACGTATAACTGGAAAAATGAGTATTTCAATGATAACTCCCCAGCACTTTCTCACACAAGTTCCGCCCAAAGAATGGGCAGCCTTTTTTTCTGGCACATAGTCTGCATCGTTGAGACTGATGCGGAGTTGAAAGTCTCAGATTGCATCGTTCATAGATAGGTGGTCAAGTTTCAGTTTTGTTCTAAACGACGAACGTTCGGTGCTTTTTCACCAAAAAGACCAAATTTCTAAGGAAAACCTTAACTGTTTATAAAACGAAAATTCAAAACAATTTTTGAACGATGATTTTGATTTTTGCTTCATCGCTTCCTTTTCTGTTTGTTTCTCCGTTAAGTGTGTATGGAATGGAAATAGTAGTTCTAGCCAGTCTCACTCGGTCGCCCGTCAGACTTTACGTAATGTGGTTTGTTTTTGAAATTAGACTCCTCGTTAGAGACTCATGATGGTTCTAGCGTTAAAGATTCCTTTTCCAACATGATTTGTAATCGTGATTTCTATTCCATTATCTTTCTCAAGAATTTTATGGAACAGTTGATCATTAAAACAATCAACGATAACATCTTCTCAAAGACGATACTCCGTACGCTAAGCGTCTGAGTTTAATAATGGATAACTCTTGCTTATTATCGCTAAAGAGTGAATGTTTTGTTGTGTAATATTTTTGATGAATAATGAGACATTGGTTTAGTCATACTGTAGATGCATATTACTGATAGTTTTCGTGCCGTTAAACGCGTTTATTCGCGTCCAAGTTGGGCTAAATGAGACAGATTACCATTTGGAGCAAAAAACTATAAATCATGCCGAATTAAGTAGACAATATGAACAGAATCAAAATGTTATTGTTTTAAACCATCGATTCGATACAATAAATTATTATTAACCCACAGAAGTGCAATATTCAAAATTACTTTACAAGCAAATTGTTTTGTCAAAAATAGATCGGCAAAATTCTTTTCACTGCTCATGATAACATAATGTCGATCATATCTACTTTATCTGATCCGTTGAACTCAAAATCTTTTTTTTCTCCTCATAGAAACAAAAATTGAACAAAGTACTAGTATTGCGTACGAATAATGGACGGTGATGTTGATGTATATCATATAATGATGATACAATACCATTATTCGTAATTCAGATAATACTGTATTGTAATCTGTTTTTGATTTCCATTAAATTGTGTTGAATTGGCAAAATGTTTGATGAAGATTGTAAACTAAGATTCTTGTTGATCTAAAAGTAATTTGAATCGTGTATTTAATTTATCAGCTATGAACTCTCAAAGAAGAATGATATTTTAATTGTATGAATAGTTCAGCTTATTGTTCAGTCGAGCAATATGATGGATTATCATTAACAAAAGACATTGTGTTTTAAAATGCTGTTAAGCTCGTGCCCCTCAGAAGCGTATCCAAAAGTCTGACCTGGACCAAAATTTCAGGGAATGTTTACCTTATGACTCTTTTCGTAAAATTTTGGCAAAGCCATCCATCTATCACCGTTTCAGAGATGTCACTCAATTAGGGGTCAGAATGGAGTCGTTCATAGCTGCAAGGTTCCTCCCCGGTGATAGAATCGTACTATCCGATCGCACAAGGTCGTATACAAATCGTACGAAATCATATACGATTATGTAAGATTTACATACGAATCGTGGTGTCTGATTTGTCCTCTGGTTCGTACCATACGATTTCTTACGAAATTGTATGATCGTATATGATCTACTACGATCGTATTATACGGTCCAGAGGACAAATCAGATACCACGATTCATATATGATTTTCATACGATTTGGTACGAGACCATTCATTTTGAGACCAGTCCAGGCTATTTGCATTGCTCCGCTACGGAGAAATCCTGCAGTTACTAAGTCGTATGAATGCAAAGTTAGCTTTTGACATAAAGTACGAGCTAGCGTACGATGCATATTTTAGGGATTCAATTTAAAATTCTTATAACTTTTGGTTGGAACATTGCCTAAAGTTGGGAGACGTCTCATTTTGATCAAAAATGTTCGTTCTACAACCTAGTTGCTTTAGAACTAATTTTTCTCTCGATTCTATATTGGTAACACAGGTAGTGGAAAAGCCAGTTTTTCAGTGCTTCCGGGAAACTGCCTGAAAAACTTGTAAAAGCCTTTGATGAAGGTCGTACTGACATGGATTCAGATAGCAGACATCTTGGGCTATCTAGTAATGTGCTTAGCTCAATGTTCTATTAACTTTTTACAAAAAATTCGTATTTCTGACGGGGGCCGGACCTCAACTGATCGGCTTTTCACACTTAAATAATTCTGTTTCAAATCTCATGTTTCCATCAATTTTTTTGTCTAGTATTTGATCAATTTCTTCGATCATAGATCGTCCACCTTAACACATGAAACATGCTTAAAAATGAAAGATATATAGTAATCAATATATATCAATTCACCTGGTCCTTATTTCTGTGCGATGCGAAAACATTTGTGTGAGAGAAGTTTAGCTACAGATGATTAGGATGACACATTAGGTTACTTCGAAAATTCGCCTAACAACTATCATACCAAGAAAATTCAATTCTGCATAAAACGGTATCACCTTCGAAAGATAAGAAAACAGTAACACTCTCATCTTAGACTATACCATAACGAAAATTCAATTATATTTTCTATCTCCTCAATTGGAGACTAACCGGAAACTACTGAGCTCAGAGATGTACTTCTACAGTCTATTAAATGTATCATGACCGATTCATCGGTCACGATGCATATGAATAGTCAAATAATCCCATATTCTCGTTTAAGAAATAAAACGAAAAGTGACTGATTACTCTCATACTTCTTCGGCATTAACTTCATATGTGTTGAATACTTTAAATAAAGCCATTGTTGTTATTTCATCCATGTTATGTTTTTGTATTTGAACTTTGTCTTCTTTAATGAACATCTTTCCTTCTTGCTCAATTACTTTATGATTGTCGATAAACGTTTTACATAAATCCTTGCACAACAGTCGATCATCAGAGAATAATAATACACAAATAGGATCATATTCTGACATCTAAACAAAATAGACATACATCTTTTATACAAAAAATATCCAGTATTAAAAGTAGAACTTACCGATATTATGTCAGCAATGTATTCTAAACCATCTGCAAACATCAATAGACACGAGGAGAGAATTTTATCATATTCAACGTCAAAAATTCTTTCGTAGTTACGTAGACAACTGGCTATCACTCGAATGAAACTAAAACGAAACAATATCGGCTCTAGTGCTTGCTCTTTTACATTTAATTTGCAGTTGCTCTAAAGAGTCAGTGGTTTTCAAGACTAGCAACTCCTGCATATAATAAGTGTTGGAAGTACCGAAATTTATGCAGGTATTTAATATCAGATTTCTATCTCTTCTAAAAGTGAAAAAATGAAATTGTTTGTGCATTCATTGAAAAAATAGCGCAGTATAAAAATACACAGACTCAAACGCGTTTCTTAAAGAATAGTATAATGAGTAAAAATGGAAGAATAATCGGCTAAAACGATTTATATAGAATATTTTACGCTTTATAACAACACATTAAACACTTTCTATAGTATTATAATCTATGGTTCATCGCTAAATTTTTTTCGTGTGGATTTTTACATTTTTTTTTTGTTGAGAGAGAATTATTCCAAAGTATTGGAGATTAGTTTACCATTTTAACAGATACACGTTGATATGTTCATTTGATTGCCATTTTTGATTTTTGCTTAATTCTGTTTGCATTCTGTGAAATAAATCGTTGTTTGTTAAAAGAAGTTTTTTAAGAAAATCGGTCCATGTAAGTTGAAATTTTGCTTTTGAAAATTGTAATTGATTTAGAAGAAGTAATTGTTGATCAGAAGTATCGGTATCATTCTTTTCCGAAAAAATTAAATGGTGCCATTTTAATACGGGTGTTGTTGAATTAGTTATTGAACTTAAAGTATCTGAAGTAGGTGTCTGTAATGATCTAAAATGAAATTAACGAAAATGGTAACTATTAGATCAAATAAAATATTTACATACTCCTGTGTCATTATAGTATTTTTGAGTGTTAGACGACAATTAATTGTGGTAATATCGGTAAGATTTGATTGTTGTGACCATTTTTTCGTTAGAGTACTCTTTCTTGAAGGACGATAATCATCATCATTTATGTTTAAAACATCTAATGATCGACTATTAATTATAACTTCGAATAAAAGATTTGTTGCTGAATTTTGTGATAAAATTGGTAATACCACATCACTTAACATTTGTATTCTCATATTCTTATCATTTGACGTTTGATCTAGAGGTGATAATGATCTGTTAAACGTTAATGTACATGCACTTGTTGGATCAATGGTTGACGCACTATCATCCGTATTATAATCGCTTTTTGAAATAATTGGTGTGGCATTATTAAATGAATATTGCTGTGTTTTATAACCAACATAATAATCATCTAAACGTATAATTTCTTTTCCATCATCTTTTGTTGAAATCACTAATGTTATATCATTTAATAAAATATTTCGAAATACATCATAATTATATTTTAATGATATATATATTTTTTCTCGAATTTGACTAATAGAATCACAGTCAAGTACAAATATTTTAAATTGTATTTGATTATTTTGATATTCTAAATTTAATAATATACGTTTATAATCAATTTTTCTTTCGAATAAACATGTTTTAGGCGATATAGAATAGTAGGCTTTTTGTAATAAATAATCTCTTGGTCCTTTTAATAAACAAACACGTAATTGATAAACAAAACAATAAACTATATCTATAATATCGTTGGTTCTTGAACGAAATTTGTGTTGTTGATCGTTACCTATTAGAAAAATAAGAGACAAAGTATCATTGTAAAGTTAACAAGCAGATAGATAATCATGAATTTACGGTTAAAAATAATTTAGTCGTATATTTGTAAGTGTGACAATATCGAATACTTTCATCATTTACTCCGTTAAATGTAAAGAACATCTTCTATCTACTATAAATCACTCGTTTAGTTCATCAGTTTTATATTCTCTCTATTGAAATAGAAAAGTTAGAACAAACTACCTTCTATTGATTGTAAAAATTGAATGGACTGTCTTGTATAACTCATGATAAAAAAAGTAATTAAAATCTACCTTTGTAATAGAGACTTGGGACCATCTCTATCTATGACTAAAAAAAGCCTTCAAAAAATTTCATTTGACTTTTCATGCTAATAATATGCTTAGATGGAATAACCTATGAATCTCCACAAATTCGAAATCTGCGACTTTGAACGCGATTCGAGATTTGAGCGCGAGAAAACCTACTAAATATGAGTTTCGTGATAAATTAACTAACAGTAGACAAAAATAATTGCTATCTCACACAAAAAATTAATTCAGCGACATAAAATTTCCAGAACATCATCGGATACGATAGATTGAATACGTGGAACATTGAAAAAAAACTCTAAATTCATCTTTTCTCATATGGTGATTCTTTGTAGAATTCCTTAAAATCCAAAGGATAAAAAATAAACATTTTTACTTTACTAGTTCTGTTCATATACAAATTAGTTGAAATAGAATATTTTCTGTAAGTCTTAAGCGGTTTAGTTGGATTTTGAGTGAAACATGGTATTCTTTTTTTATACGTTTTCACTTTCTGCAAAACTCATTTGAATTCATTACACTTTCTCAATTTTTTCTATATACAACTATTGCTGCGAGATTTAGAACGATCAATTATCTATGTTTTCATGCACTTATAAAATTCTAAAATCTAAAACTTGCGTTCATCAATAGAAAAAGCTGAATATCTCGAACTTATATAAATTTGTAGAGCAAATATTACTCTTCATGTCATATTTTTCATCGTGCGTTAACCCTTTACACCCGAAGACACTTTTATTATAGCTGCAGCTGAAATAACTACTGCCTTGAAGCTTACAGTTCTTCGGTACATCCTTGTTATATCTGGACTTAACCCTTTGGGGACGGGTGACGTTTTAAAACGTCATTAAAACGTCAAAAATCGGAATAAGTCGTGTTTTCCAAAACTTTCTTTTGAAGAAACGTCTCTCAAAACTAGATCATAATCAAATTTCAA